CTTTTAACAATTTTTGTCAGTTTTTATACCAAAGTAGTAGATAATATCGGTTTTGGTGGTGTCAAAGCTGACAATAGAAAACCTTGTTAACTTTCCGAAGGAGAATTTTGTTTATTTTAAGTTTGTAAAAAATTAGTATCGTTTTTTTGGCATTTGTCAAAATTAGACCTTTTATCGACGTTTGCTCAATAACACCTGAACCGATTTCAACAATTTAAAAACCATTTGATGTATCTCAATGAAGACTATCGTTTGTGCGACAATCGGCTAAGCTGTTTCTTTGTAATTTGGAGAAAAGTGTGGAACTTTTATTTCACATTTAAGCTCATACTACCGAATTGATTTAAAAAATTCAAAAACTGTTCAAGAGATATTAGTTGGGAATGATACCGATTAGTTTTAGGTGAAAATCAACCGAGCCGTTTTTCTTGTAATTAACTGTTGAAAAAAAAACTAAGCCGATTTTCATGGAACTTTTTTTTGGCGTATATATCATGGTCTTATAGAACTTACTGAAATATTACGGCCTTACGACAAGTAGTTTAATTTTAAAAATTTATCAAAGTTTTAGAAAATGAGTAGTTTTTTTGACGCTTGTTAAAATTAAAATTAAACGATTTTGTATAACGATAGTGTACTTGGTCTTAATGAACATACTAACCCATTAAATTTTTACGGAAACTGGCTCAATTATAGAATTGATTGATTTTTGAAAATTTGGTTTTGGAAAATACTCCGAATAAATCCACTCGAAATACTTTTAATCACACATAAATTAATTTATTTTTTATTGATTAATTCAATTATTTACACATAGCGGGAAGTTCATGTAACTTGCCTCAAGGTAAAATACCATTTCCAACTAATTTATTTTGAGCATTCTATGCGATTTATTCTATTGAGCAAATCGTAATGAGCAAAAAATTCTAGCCTTTCATTATTAAATATAACCATAACATAACACTGGTACTACATGTTCGATTAATTTAATTTAATTTAAATCAATTTAATTCAAAATTGCATCTTAAACTTGTCCTAATTGATATTGTAAGGGCCGAGTCGTATGTATTCTTCTTTACTTTCCCATTTGTTGTTTTAAAGTGAAATTTTTAACATATTTTAAAAATATTGTACAAAGATTAGAAAAATGCAAATCAATTATATATTTCTTGAATTACGTTAAAAAAAAAACTACATTCAAAATTACGTATCAATCTTGTATTGGCGCCCCCTAAGACGTGTTCGTATTTATTGCATGCGTTCATTTAAGGTAGGACCGGCCTGATTATTGCTTAATTTCATATTTTAAGTGAATTAATTATCAATTTCATGTTTTAAGTGAATTATCAATTAATTTGTCAACTCTTGTTCATATGTGTATGATTCAATCTAAGCCATACATATACTGTATATTATATTATTTTAATTTCTGGCACATCTCAGTTGCTTTTTGGCAATAATTATATAGATATTTCATTTGTTTTATTCATAATCATAATTTTAATATACATATTTTAATATTGTCTAGGCTCATAAGGGGGCGTCCATCAATCACGTGAGCGAGTTTCTAAGGATTTTAGGACTCCCCTCCTCCTTGATGATATTCAATGGTGATATTCAAAATTACCCCCCTCTCCCACCAAACATCACATATTCATATGTGTATTTTTAGTTACGTGATAAAACTGTAAATTTTTATATTTTTTTTGAAAATATTTGAATTTTTTTGGAAATCAGTTAAAAAATAAATTCACGTGATATCTTACTATGCCCTTCCCTCCCCCATGTGATATTTTGTGATTTTTTATCACCTCCCTTCTCCTAAAAACCTCACGTGGACGCCTCCTAAGTAAATTGAAATTTTTGGCAGATTACAGTTTTAATTTGTTTTTAATGCCAAACAATGTCTCAAATATTTTCAATGTCAAACAATGACATGTCGTTTTTTGCAATTTTTTCCATTCATTTCTACAACATTACTATATTTTCATAATCACATACATCCTAAATAATTTTCTTAACGCACTTCAGAAAGATTTAACAAATCCGAATAATCGTTTAGGAGGAGTATATTTACACACACACATATATGCATACAAATTTATATATGTGCGTGTATATATGTATTTAATATAGCTATTGTTTTCGTACAGTAAAATAAGATAATTCTATAAGAGCGATGCAAAGTTTGCCGGAACAAAGCAAAATATTTTGAAACGGAGCCGGGAGTATCATGATGCGTGCAGTTGTTTGCGAGTACAGGTGAAATTAATTTAGATTCGAGAAGAGAACGTTGCTACATTTCACAACATGTAATCAAGAAACTGTTTACGGTAATAGCTAAACATTTTGTTTGTTGTTTCTTCTCGGTACATGGCTGAATAGATTATTTAAATCATATCGTGCAACTTTGTTACGCGATTCCGGTTTTAAAGATGCTTGTTAAATAACTTATTTGAAGACTTTTGGACAAAAGAGTTGAAATTTACTGTTACTATTATTTCTTTTATTTCACAATATAAAAAGTTTTTGACTGCGTACAATAACTAAAAATTAAAATGACATCTTGCGATTTTTAGATAAGTCGAAAGAATCAATGAATACGTATATGTGTACTACTTATAGGCATTTGTATGTTTACATTGACAAATTTTCTATAATAAATTTTTTAAAATACATATAAATCTCGCAATTCGCGAGTGAAAAGGGTTATTAAGAACAAGTTGTCATAGGCATTTATATGTTTACATTGACATAATTTTTTTATAACATGTTTTGCATACAATTTTTTTTTTTTTTGTGAATTGCAATCTGTATATATTATAAAGACATTGAATCATTTTTTAACTTCCCGTAGGGTAAGTTATAGTAATCGCAAACAAATTGCAAATATATTTTTTTGCATATCTTCACGTTTTGAAGGTTTATGAACATTTTGGCATATCTTAGAAAACATGGATGTATGTGTGTGTGTGATTTCGGGCGCACGGATTAACCGTTTCGAATAATTCATAGAACTTCTGATTTTTATTGATACGAAGACGTGCTGTTTAGTTTTTCTCAAAAACGTTTTGAAAATACGTAGCAAAAATTTCTAAAAATAGTAATTAAGTTTTTGAGGTGATGGAGCGCCTGATTTGGATGATTCAAAAAAATTTTGCTTGTATGGACAAAATGAAGAATTGTTAACCTATATAATGAGAAGTTTGTTTTTATCAAAAAATTCGATTCGCTAATTTTGTGTTTTCTCGACGTTTCGAGCCATTCTGAATCGAATGAGACCAAATTTGGAAAAAGTGTGTGTGTGTGTATGAACAGTATGAGTTTTTGCCGAGGCGGTCAACACGTCTCGACCGATTTCAAAATTTTGAAAGCCATTCGATGTATCTAGACGAGGCGAGGACTAGCGTTTATCAATTTTGAGCGACGATCAGTCAAGCCGTTTCTTTGTAAATCGCAAAAAAGTAAAAATATTTTTGTTTATGTTTTAGACCGCAATTCTGAATCGATTTTGAAAATTCAGAAACCGTTCGATAGATATTGGTTAGGAATCGTGCTGATTAGTTTTTGGTAAAGATCTGCCGGGCCGTTTTCTTGTAATAAAGTGTGAAAAAAATTTTTTTCGACGATTTTTATGATTTTTTTCACGGTAGATACCATTGGTTTATTGATCATACTAAAATATTACTGCCCTACGACTAGTCGTTTAATTTTAGAAATTCGTTGAAGTTTGCAAAAATTAGTATCGTTTTTTTGGCGTTTATCAAAATTTGAACTTTCATCGACGTTTTCTCATGAACGCCTACACCGATTGCAGAGATTTAAAAGCTATTCGATGTATCTCAATGAGGACTATCGTTTGTCAGCTTTGTGCGCCGATCTGCCGAACGGTTTCTTTGTAATTTGAAAAAAAAGTATAAAACGTTTCGTCCACATTTAGGCTCATACTACCATATCGATTTTAAATCGAAACTGTTCGAAAAATATTAGTTGCGAATGATACTGATTAGTTTTAAGTCAAAATCTACCGAGCAGTTTTCTTGTAATTAACTGTTGACAAAAAAATTTAAGCCATTTTTTTTTTATAGAAATTACTGAAATAATACGGCCTTACGACAAATAGCTTAATTTTAAAAATTTACTATAGTTCGAGAAAATGAGTAGTTTTTTTTTACGTTTGTTAAAGTTTAAATTACACGATTTACTTGGAATAACGATAGAGTACTTGGTCTTGATGAACATACTAAACCATTAAAGTCTTGCGGAAACTGGTTTAATTATAAAAATATTGATTTTTGAAAATTTGCTTTTAGAAACTATTCCGAGTTAACGTGTTCATTCGTTTACAATTATGTGCGATAAATCCACTCGGAGTACTTTTAATCAATCATAAATTAATTTATTTTTTATTGATTAAGTCGATTATTTACACATATCGGGAAGTTTCTGTAACTTACCTCAAGGCAAAATACCAATACTAACTAGTTTAATTTTGATACGGGTATTTCCAGTAATTTGCTTTAAGGTCCTATTTAAGTCATATTCTATGCAACAATGGAATGAAATTTTATATTGCATTTATAACAAAAAAAAAAATTAAACGTACATAATATTTAATAAAATCAAATTAATTTTGCCAAAAATGTAATTAATATTATGATGCCCAAATTAAATTTGTTCTACGTAATAATATGCAATCGTCTATTTAATTCAATTCGGAACATTTTGCGAATTCATCGAATAATGACAGTCGAATGATCGCAATAAATAATTCAGTGTCCATCATTTTAACTATAAAATCAAACATTTCGATTTAATTGTGATGAAATACTCAATAAATATGCTTAAAATCGCTCATTTAAATAATCGCTTAGTGTGAAATCGCTGAATTATTTATGGCATAATAAAATCTATTGTATTATTGAATTATATTGTATGATTATATGTACATGGGTAATAGTATTTTATATTGGGCTCTTGTGGTAATGAGTTTTTAAAATATGGATAACCAAAAGGTAAAAGGTAATTTATGATTTGCGAAACTCTTTCTTTCGTTAAAATGATTTTTATTATTTTATTCAATCAATTAGTCCTCCGTCGATTCCTTCGAAAATGGTTGGTTTTTGGGTTTCTTTTAAAATAATTTTTGAGTTTTATCCATTAAAGAAAAACTGGTAGTCGAAACGTATGAATGATTCATTAATTTCCCTTAGGGTGAGTTATAGTAAGAGGCCAAAATTCAAAAATAATTTTTTTGCATATTTTCACGTTTTAAAGGTTTCTGAACATTTTTTGGAAGATACGGAGCTAAATGTACAAACAATGGCAGTTTTTGAGAGAATTAAGCATCCGATTTGAATGATTCAAAAAACATTTTGCTTGTGTTGACTAAACGATTGTTTTGAGGAATTTTTCTTTGACTTTCAAATTTCAGAAAAAAATCCATTTTTTTTTAATATTGCTAAAGTTCTAAATTTTGCTTATATACTTCAAATATATGATTTTAACTATGCAATTCAGTTTATATAGTTCTTATAAATTTTAGTCAATGCCCGTTATTTTAAATATATTCGACTAAGTTTTATTTATTTAGTTTTCACGTAAACTGATATAAATGTCATCGTTTAATGTATAAACTTTTATATTTTGTCTATAAAATATGAATAATGAAAGTAACTGTATTTCTAATAATTGCAAACATTATTTGAATATTTCATTACTGTACGAAAAGTTCCAGCAATTTGCCTTAAGGCACGATGCCATACACTACTAGTTTTTTATAATTTTTTTCTTTCTTACTCCATAATTACAATTTCTTTTGATCCCATACCATCTTCAAATCTTCTTAAAGAAACACCAAATGTTAAAATTATGCGTTTGTCAATACATTTATTTATACCCAAGTTCAATATACTTAATCAATAAAAACGGAAACATATAAATAATTGTTCAGAGAGCCATTGAATTAATTAATTAGCTAATTAAGTCTTGCATATGATTTTAATTGGTGTGAATTTATTATGACGCCATATGTTACACAATGACAAGATGAGGATAAATCTGAGTTTGAAAACAGCTAACATTAATTAGATTACTGTAAAATTGTGCAATTAATTAAAACTTAGAGATTTAGTTATAAAAGCTTAATACTTGTTGGAAAATTTCAGATTAATGTTAAAAAATTCAAAGCTACGCATGTGTCTGGCATTATTACAATTCAACAAATTGCTTAAAGTATTTTGAACATATATAATATATATATAAACAAAATTCTTCTGTACAGGTGTCTGATTTGATATTTCTCCTAAACGGTTATTCGGGGCTTGATAATTTTTTTAGAGTTTGTCAAAGGTAATTTTTAACATTTTATGAACGATAAAACTATAGTAATACTGTAGAAATAAATGGGAAAATTTATAAAAAAAAAACACTAATCATTGTTTGACATTGAAATTACTATTAGAATATAATATACAAGAAAAATGTAATGTCTACATTATTATTGCCGAGAAGCATCTGAGATGTGCCAGAAACTAAAATATAAGATACAGTCAACAGTACATGTTTGGCAGATAAAATTATATAATTCAGTTTAATAAATAACGCAACAAGTCCAAATTTGCATATACATTATTTTTTTAAACTTAACTTAATTTAACAATACAAAAAATATTTCTATTTATAAAAAAATGATTTAGAATTTTGTTTCATGTTTCAAAAATTCATTCGTTTGACATTGGATATGTAATATTTAGCAAGTTGATCTTAGATTGAAGAGTGCTCATATGAACTAAATTTTACAAATTAATTCACGGAAGATTTGAACATAAACAAATTTTTTTATTAAATTTTTAGTAAGAAAAATGTACTTTAGAACTAATATATCGCACGAGATTATGAAAATTATAGACTAAATTATTGAAGCAATTAAGTTGTGTGGTAAAATCAAGTGTGATATTGTTCTTTTACCGCAGATACTATATTATTTTTTTCTGAATTTCTTATACTGCTTATAAGAAGACCATAGATATTAAAAAGTATAGGGTAGGATATTATAAAATTTGAAACTTTTGAATTGTAAACGTGGGTACAGGACTACGTCCGTCGGGTCATCTAGTATATATATTTATATATATATATATATATATATATATATATATGTATATAATATATATATACATATATTTACTCCCAAAAATATATCCATAAGATAAAACGTGAATAAAACTGTTTAATATGGAGCCTATAACGAGCGTTTACCTCAGTCCGAACTTCATGAAGTTGCGAAAAGCTTTTAAAGGCTAATATTTATTTTTAATTATTATTAACTGCTTGCATAACGGCAGAATTTCTATTCTGGATGAAGTTTGGCAATTTTAAAGATACGTAGACAGTTTTTATGTTGTTGGAAAAGCTGGATAATTGATTATTTGGGTCCATACCCTAGTAATGGTGAACGACTTATCTCTATGTATTTTTAACAAAAATAATTATAATATGCCGTTATATACTATAACAAAAAGAGTGCTTGTAAGGTCCACACGTGATTGAAGTAAAACTTTTTTGCTATTGTACGAGATGACATTTAAATTGAAAATAAATACATCATATAACAATTTTGAATAGTGTTCATCAGTAATATGGTAACACTCATGATGCACACATTTTTTAATATCAACCATTATACATATTTATATATAATTTATTATAAATTTATAATAGCATTGAAAATATTTATAATATTTGAAAACAATAATGCAATTAAAGTCGTACTTCAATTACGACATGACCGGTTTGTCATTGGAATTAGCATTTTTGACTTGAACCATTATTCAAGAAATAAAGTAATTGCTGATTAATACATTCTACAATATCCGTTGATACAGTGGACAGCTGTAATATAACAATCTTGAATAATTGCATTAACACTACCAATGAATAAACTGCATAGATGCCCAGATTATAAAGTATATCTGTATATAAATGATACACAGCTACAACAAACTATTGTTGTGCTTGATCTCTTGTTTAGAGTAATAAATCTGAATATCAATTATATTTATAAATAAATTTTCTCTTCATTGTTTATAAAAATTAGCAACTTTCTAATACTTAATAGCCATCATAAACGAAAAACATGTAGACTTCAAAACGTGTCTGGGATATAATTGTGAGAAAAACATATCTTCGGCATGTTAGAGTAAAGCTGTACTGCTTTAATATTTTTTAATATCTATAAAAATGCAGAGAATTAATATGTTAAACTATGTCTAAATAAATATTGTTTTCACAAGTTCACTTATCATGTTATTGTGTTCGAAGAACTTAATGTAATTAAAATTAACATACAGTCATTTATTGCCTGTTTTTGAAGTGAAACTTCTTTAGGCGCGATATGGGTGTAAAAATTTCTTTAGGCTACACGGGTGTAAATCCGTACAAATGCAACGAAAACGCCAACGTGAAGTTGAACACTACGACGCTAATAGGCGCTGATGTCGCGAGTATCCACTCCCGTCATGTCATGCGTAAGTCGAGCGCTAAACCCTATATGAACTTGCATTAATTGAATCACGTTTTTTTTACAAAAGAAGAGGTTACTGTATTATGTCCTCATGGAATAAGACTTTTCTTAGAGAAAACATGTGTCATGGAATATAATAAATTTATATTGAATCTCGTTGAAGACAAAATAATATCTACTGCCACGGATATTTATGTAGGTTGCCATGCGACAGATCAACAATCATACATTCGTCAGCAGTTTCACAAAAATCGGTTATTGATACCGGGGCTTTGCCGTATGAAATAATTTTAGTTCTGAATAAATTTTACATAATAACAACTAATATTGATGTAAGTGATGGCTTAGCTAATGGTTGTGTAGGAAAATTAGTGTACATAGAACGTGGCGATAATGATGAACTTCTATGTTTATGGTTTGAATTTCCTGGTAAGATAGGTAACAAAATTAGGAAGAAAGCTGCACATCATATTCAAACTCTTAATATCAGTAGGACAGCTGTGCCGATTCTCAGGAGATCTTCATCTATTCCAATGAATAGAAATAAAATCATATTTGCCAAAAGAAATCATTTTTCTTTAGTATCTGCTTGTGCACTCACAATACACAAATCACATGGTGGTACTTTTGATGAAATTGTATATGAATACAATAAAACACATAATCAGCAGCTTCTATATGTTGCATGATCACGAGTTACCAGCATTAATGGATTGTTCGTCATTTCTAAAACAACGAAAAAAAATTTTATTATGGAAGAAAACGGCCAGCAGGATTAATGGACTTACAAACTGAATTCCAAAGACCTCCAACTTGTAGATTAATAACGAAAATTGACATTGAAACCTCCAGCAAGAATTAATGGTATCTCGTTGTGATTATTGTTTAAAAGTTTTGCACGCTCATTAGAAAAATGAAGTAACTGCTGATGAAGAAATTTAATAATATTTGATATGTTTTTATTGGGAGAAATTTAAAGGACGACTATAATTAATGTTTGATTCTGAGTGTTCACACAGCGGACAACTGCAATATATCACCTACTTGTGTAATTTTATTAGGAATTTCAATAGAAATATTTAATAGGAATATTTCAATAAGATACTCTTCATAATGCGACTTCTATGCAGTTTCTTGCGCCAACAATATTCCTATTGAAATTCCTAATAAAATTACACAAGTAGGTGATATATTGCAGTTGTCCGCTGTGTGAACACTCAGAATCAAACATTAATTATAGTCGTCCTTTAAATTTCTCCCAATAAAAACATATCAAATATTATTAAATTTCTTCATCAGCAGTTACTTCATTTTTCTAATGAGCGTGCAAAACTTTTAAACACTAATCACAACGAGATACCACTAATTCTTGCTGGAGGTTTCAATGTCAATTTTTGTTCAGAAGAATCTCAACCATTAATTGATTTTTTAAATAATAAATTTAATTTAACAATGAATAATTCTTCATTTGAATCAACCACAAGATATGGCACGACTA